AATGTTTAGGGTCACGTGGACCCAGGGAGGGGATCGCCTCGACTCGACTCGCTTCCAGGTAATGCTGGCCGGGCGGCGGGGGCTCCGGCGAGGAGGGCTGGCGGGGGACGAGGCGGGACGCGTGGGTGCGTGTGAATTCTGGAACTTGGGTCAACACCCAGCGCAACTTTACTAGTCGGGAGGCGTGGGGGGGGGCTCTCCCCAGGGCAAAGGTGCCCCCCCATTCCCCTCTTGGCCCCTTTCTCCTGCCCCTCCGTTCCTCCCTCCCGGTGGGGTCGGGTCGGAGCCACCGCGTGTTAGAACCGCCCCCCCAAAAAAAGCCGGATCCCATCCAGGCACTGTTTAGATTATTTACTATTAAAGATATTTCAGATAAATGCAGAGAGTTGTTGGCTCAAAAAGAAAGGACCACCAGAGTATCCACAGCCGTGTAAAATACTCAGGGAGCAACTGAAGCTGAACGAAAAAGAAGTCAGCAAACAAACAATATACTATAAAGAAGTAACCCAATATACATCTACTATAAAAATATCAAACAGACGTAAAACTATCCATTTGCTATGCCTGGCTTTATAAAAGAAAACCAAGAGCTTGTATGTAAAAATGTAACATAAACGTTACTAAACATACAAGACAAAAAATAATACATACCAAAAAAGAGGTTGCTGGTAAAACAGAACAAAATGACTTAGCTTCAGGAGAAAAAGAAACGTAAAGCAAGACGAATTCAGGTAAAAGGTGAGATAGCAGCAGACACAACACACAGCAACTGCTTCTGCCATCTACTCGCATCTGATGAAAAGGTAAGGCTTTCCCTTATATCCAAAGAAAGAAAGAAAGAAAGAAAGAAAGAACAGGTGTATCTATTACTGTTATAACTTGAGATATGGTGGGAAAAAGAAGGAGCCAGGCAATTAAAGAAAAAGGTACATACGTGCATGGCTGCATTGCATTGTAAGGAAAAGAAACCAAAAAAAACCCCACAACCCAACAGGCACCACAACTAAGGAGACGGAGCGGGTCGCTTTGCACAGCTACTGGCTCTTAATGGCCATTCTGGGACAAGCTGCCCTCACGACCATTTCGTTATGGCGGAGAGGGCTTGCAAGGGTCTCCCGTTCCTAGGACAGTGTGTTTCCCTCCCAGGTGTTGCTGGGGGACCGCACCTCAGCTGAGAGGGAACAGGCTGGGCCAAAAAGTAGGATGGTAGGAGAGGCCACTGTTCCTGCTCCCCCAGGCCCTGGCGGTTGCCCAGTTTTGAGTTGTTTGATTAAATTACTCTAGCTGTGTGGCAGAAGTGCAGGAAATCACAGAAGAGAATGGCTTCAAGTTTCCCAGAGAGTTTACCCCTCGCTTATCAACGGGCTCTTACCCTCAGTAACTCACTTTGAGGAGAAAGAATAAAATGTTGAATCACTTACAGTTGAACACATCGGACAGCAAGCTGACAGACATGACTGCTTTCAACAACAGAGTTTAAAAAGGGGGAAAGATCTGAGCAGAGTCAAGCCTCCCTTTGAATTCAGAGGCAGGGAAGGAACTGTATAGTTATTGCTGGATAGATGGACAGTCACTCCAGCCCATAAAGGTCCCACCCAGCCAAACCTGATCCAGGCAGCATGCAAGGTATTAAAACTCCCATCACTGGCTCCCTAGTTCTGCCTCTACATTGGCTTCCTGGGGAAATCCTTTTTTTTTTGTAAGCTCCTTGGAGACTGGGACCTTTCTTTGCTGATTAAGAATCACTGCCAAACAAGACAGGCTGTGTTGTCCTGTCGCTGGACCAGCCTCTCTGGTGCTTATTTGCTAGCTTGCCCTCACCCAGGCCACCTCCACCCCCAACCTCTCTCAGGTCAGATGCAACTGGTTCTGCCCCTCTGCCTTGGCTGTTGACCATGGAGGTCACCCTTCTGCAAAGGGGACTGGCTGCCAATCCTCATTCTGGCACCTATGCATAGAGTCATAAAATCGGGATGGTCGAGCAGGAACAGGTCCCTCAGGGGTCATCTAGTCCATCCCCTGCCGATACAGGAAGTCCCTCAGCTAGCTAAATAGTTAAATAAATGAAAGAGTTGATGTAACCAGAGAAACAGTAAAGGCAGAGGAGGAGGAGGAGAAGTAGCTGGCCAGAACGTGGCAGCCGGTAAAGCCAAAAGGGTGTGTGTGGGGGGGGGTTGGAATCAGAGCTGCTCCTGGGTTTAGAAAGAAAAGGGTTTCACAGGAAAATGGGCCCAAAACAGTTTGGGCAAAAACAGGAGAGCCACCCATCACCGACATTTTTCCACCACCCACCCACAAAAAACTCCTGGCATCCAGGGCAGATTTATGTTGCAGTCAAGGTAAAAGACAGCTTAGGGCCTCAGATTGCAAGAGGAGTCTCTATTCCACGCCTGCACAAAGGGAGGAGGGGGGGAGGGGAAAAATCAAGACAAGGGAGGCCTCATGCCACGATTGGGGCCTCTTTGATGCCTGGCTTAGCTGGGGGAGGCGTTTGGTTTGTGCCTTCCTCGCGCCCCGCCCGGTGCCCTTGTCCTTCCCCAGACAACACGCCTGCTGTCCGTGCAGGCAACTGGTGACCCCGGGCCTCACCAAGCACTTTGAGGGTGGCACCGAGTTGGGAAAGGCTGTGCCAAGGTTGAGGAAGGGTCCAGGCCTCCCTGGCATGCATGGCTTCACTTTGCAAAGATCCCCGGCCCACCTTGCGCCTGCGTGTCTGCCTTTCTCCTCCTCCTCCTCCTCCTCCAGGTCCGACCATGGATGTTCGGGGGCTCCTCCTCCTCCTCCTCCTCCAGGTCCAGCCATGGATGTTCGGGGATCCCTTGCGCTCCTGGTGGCTGCCTGGAGCTGCTCCTTCTCCCGGTCCTCGCGCTTCCCCCCCCACCTGGTCCAGTTGAGCTCCCGGCGCAGCACCTGCAAGCCCCTGCCGAGCAGCCTGAGCCTGTGCCACGGCGTGGGCTACGGGGAGATGCGGCTGCCCAACCTCCTGGGCCACGACACCATGAAGGAGGTGCTGCAGCAGGCGGCCTCCTGGGTGCCCCTCCTGGCCAAGCAGTGCCACCGGGACACCAAGAAGTTCCTCTGCTCCCTCTTTGCCCCCGTCTGCATCAGCGAGCTGGACCACGAGCCCATCCTGCCCTGCCACTCTCTGTGCCGGGCCGTCCGGGACGGCTGCGCCCCTGTCATGGCCGCCTTCGGCTTCCCCTGGCCGGAGATGCTGAACTGCAGCCGGTTCCCTCAAGGCAACGAGCTGTGCATCCCTCCGGTCAGCCCAGAGGAAAAGACGCAGCTCCTTCGGGAAGGTGAGTGCCCGGGAAAGGGGGCCCGCTCCGCAGAGGCCCAACAGCGCCGGGGGGAGGGAAAGCGGGGTGAGGAGGAGGAAAGGCAGGCGTTTTGCTCTGAAGCCGAGAAAAATTAAATGTGTGTGTTTGGACTACTATTCCCAGGATCCTCCGATCCGCCTGGCGATGGGTCATCCTGGTGCCTGAGGGATCCTGGGTGTTGTAGTCAGCAAAAGTAGCCTTCCCACGCTGTCGTGTCTCACTTCTTCACTCTCAGAAAACTTTGCTCTGTGACTTCTCCCTGCAGTGCCTGCTTTCTATGCTCCCTCTCCCCTCCCCCTTCAGATTATGGCCGTGTGGAGGCATGCGCTTCCCGCAAGGGCATGCTGTCTCTGCTGCCATCTTCTGTCTTCGACTTTCCCCAGTGTTTGTAAAGGAGTCACTCTTTCCCCCCCCCCCCGCCCCTGAACAGTAACAAAGCTAATAGGAAGTCCTGGGCAACTGGCCCAGCGAGAGGAGAGGAAAGGAATCCAGGTGGTGAGAAAGGGTGAGTTGTGTACCGAAAGACGAAGGACAGAAAACTCTGGGATCTGTAGTTTGGCACAGGTTCGCCTCGCGCTTCTCCCTCCATAAACAGTCAGTCTCTTTCCTCCACTCCTGGCTAAATCTGTAGGCACTCTTTAGGGAGCCCCTTGGCTGTTCCAGGGGTTCAAAACTGGTTGAGCTTTGTAACAGATTTGCAACTCCTGTGCCTTCAGTTTATGGATGGATGGATGGATGGATGGATGGATGGATGGATGGATGGATGGATGGATGGATGGATGGATGGATGGACTGAGAGATTGGATGGATGGATGGATGGACGGACGGACGGACGGACGGACGGACATAAGTCTAAGTGACTAATAAATAGGAAAGTGTCCCTTTGTGTTTAGAGCTTCTCTTCTTAGGACACCAACTCCTAGTATGTGAGTACCGAGCAGAGACTGAGGCATCACAGCTCACCTGTGACAGGCACAGAGGGTCATCCTGAAAACCAGAGCCAGGAGCAAGATGGGGGGCTGCCTTGCTTCTCCCCCCCCCTCCGAGAGCCATAGACTGGGAAGGTCCAGGGCAAGCCGGGACCTGCATTGCTACAGTGCAGGAATTTTAAGGGCCTACTTTGGAAGAAAGACCACCGGTTTGCACTCTTTGGGTCTGGAAATGATTGGGCGTCAGAGGAACCTGTAAATCACTCACCAGGAGTTCCACACCCTGAAAAAGCAGGACCCTGTACAGTATTTAAGGGTTCGGGCGCATTTGGGTCCGGTGGTTGGGATTCCATTGTGAAATTCTTAAAAGTTGCGGTGTGATAGCAAGGCAGAGGATAGTGGGTGGGCGGGCAGGCCCCGTCCGTTGACCACTAGCTCTGGCTCAACCCCTGCATGCGTGCACGCGCACACACAGACACACACACACACAGAGTGTCTCCCTTTGCTCCCACAGATGTGGTGTGCGCACCCTGCCTTGATACCGGACATGGCGAGAAGGAATTCCTGGAAAACGTTTGCACCCAGGATTTTGGTGAGTCTCCCGTCTCTCTGGCTGGCAGGGATGAGGGTGAAAGGCTGATGCCTGGTTGCCCTCGGCCCCATCAGGGTCATGTTGGTAACTGTGAGAAGGTGCAAGTGAAGCATATAATCCCAACGCCCTGTCGTGGCACCGCTGTTTATACCCAGCCCGCTTTTTCTTCTTGTTTTCTTATTCTGCAGCTTTGAAAATGAGCATTAAATTCGTGTCAGGCGTCGAAGGGGACCTGAAGGTGGTTCCGGAGCTCAGGAGCCGCACGCTTTACAAGCAGGACGGCTGGTCAGAAGAGGAACGGAGGAAGCCGGTCCTCTGGTTGGCCGATGGGGAGACATGCTCCTGCGAGGAGCTGGCGGTGGGTCCAGGCTCCGTGGTCCTGGCCACCGGGAACCGGGTGGCCGGGCGGCTCATCCTCTCCTGGGTGAGAAGGTGGCAGCGAGGGGAGAAGGAACTGAAGCGGTTCTCCCGGGCCGTTCGGAAGCTGCAGTGTTAGAGGGCGGGGGCTGCCGTCACCGCCCCCAACCCCTCTCCTCCCTCCTCTCCCCTCCCCACTTATCTTCCCAGTTTGAGCCAGATCAAATAGTTTAGTCCGGCTCTAGGCCATCCAGGGAAGCCCTACAGTTCCTCCATATCCTGGAAAATGTGCCTAGGCTCCAAGGGAAGAGATCCCCAGAGGAGCTGCCATTTTCTGCATGACTCTTATGGGCCTGATTCCTTGGAGAGTCAACTCGTGAGCACCCGGGTTCCCTGGAAACCTGTCCTCCGGGGAAAAAACCCTGATGAGACGAAGCTGGAGAGTCAAAGAGCAACTTTCACCAGGTGACCTGATCTGTATTTCTTCAGCAGGTCCATAGTTTTTTTTCCCCTCCAAAGGCACAGAGAGGGTACTGTATTTCCTTGAGCCAAATCCAGATCTTTGAGGGTGTAGCAAGGAAAATGATTCCATAGCAGGGGAAATGCAGAGTGATCTGTTGTGGAGTCACACCCAGCAACCTGGGTTTCCCAGGGTGAATTTGCTTTATCAGATGACACAGGAGTCAAGAGAGAGAGACAGCAGAGGAAATTACCAATCTACCCTTCGCAGTGTCTTGCTAGGGTGGCTCTGGTGTAGCTGTCCAGATTTGCAGGAGGCAGGGCAACAGTGGAGCTACCTTAAAATGCAAACAAGGGCTGGCTGCCAATTTCCTCCTCTCTTCCATTTCCCCCCTTGCTCAGTCCCCCTACTCTTTTGTCTCCAGCTGCTTGAGCACACCTGCACTGGCTCCAATATTTTAAAAGGGTGGGACAACCCACATTTGGAGACAAAGGGGTGCTCAGTTGAGGGGAATTGATACCCCCACAAGCAGTCCTTTGCTTTCTCTCTCCCCATCTTAAACCAGGAAGCTGGGAGAGCCCATTGCATTGAATCTAGTGCCTCACACCGCCTGAACTGATGCAGATGCATTTGATTTTTTTTAAAAGTCCAAGCCCCAGAGGTGGAGGGGAAAAGTATGGATGGTGGAGGTGGTGGAATTCCAGGCTGATTCACACTGACTTGTTCACCACGGAAGCATGAGAAAATAATGCGAATCCGACTATTCCGGTCTCAGAACATTTTCCATATTATTTGTCAATGTCACCCCACCCTGAGTCTTCCAAGATGCCCTTGCCCCTGTGTCTTCGGCAGCTTTCCGGCTTCCCTCTTGTAAAAGACTGGAATTTTGCTAATGAACGTCTGCCCTTTTGCCTTTAAACTATCCGATTGTTTTTTAGTTTTTACTTTGTTGCTAGTTTATGTTTAGCTGACATTTAGTTTTGATTTTGAATATCATTGTGTTTACTGTATTTTCTTACAGTTTATCTGTTTTTTTAGTTATAAACTGCCCAGAGAGGCTCTGGGAGCCATAGGTGGTATAAAAGTTAAATAAAATAAAATAAAATAAAATAAAATTGGAATGCTTCTCTTGGAATCCTGGGAAGTGCTGTGGGCAAAAACAGGTTCTTGTGTCTGCCTTTTTGCCATTGGCACTGCCTACCGTTGGTGTTTGGGTGGAGGAGAGGCACCCACCTCACCCTTTCTGAAGCTGGATTGGACCCTTTGTGACTGAAACACGCCCCCCCCCCCATCCTTGGTGGGACCCTGGAGAAGAAGGTGCCTCACGAACACGGCCAGGTTGAGAGTTGAGGAGGGCTGTTCGAAGGCACAAAGGTCCCGTTCCTTTTGTCTGCTTTGTCTGGAAGGAATGAATGCTACAGGAAACCTTGCATTGGGGGAGAGGAGTTAGAGTGAAGGAAATTAGCAGTGACTTTTAGCATTTGAATTGTGCCTTGGTATCCCAAGACTATTTCATTGTTCTTTAGCAGAAGTGTTTGATATAATTAAAAGAAAAAGAAAAGAAGATCTGTTTGTATAATAGGGGGTGGGGAGGGGGTGGAAGCAGATCAAGTATGGCCAACATTCACTAGAGGAAGATTTCCAGGGGGGGCCCCCAGGACTTTAACAGAAGGGAGTTATGGCCGCCAGCACTTCCTGGGATCCCTGTCCGCTGATCTCAGGCGTGCGCTGGGGTGCCATGAAAGTAAAACTCACAGGGCCAGGCCTCTCTGCATTCACAGGGGCACGGCCCTCGTTTTGCCCCTCTCCTCCGGCTTTCCCAGGCCCTTTGAGTTTCACTGTGACCCTCACAGAAGGCGGAGGGAGGACTGATTTCTGCAGCATCAATATATTATTGTGAGCTATCTCAGCTGTGCAGCAAAATTGTTTGGAGCTCATTCTTGAACAGGACATTTGGATCCATTAGCTTGGCAAAAGACGCGCTCCCGGTAGGCATAAGTCCGACTAGAACTGGTTTGTTGGTCTGGATCAGGGCCGCTGGTGGTTATGTGGGGCTGCTCTTGGGAACGTGGGTAAGAAGACTGCCGTGTCAAGCGCTGGCATTTCAAAAAGGCTTACGATCCCAATGAACGCATGTGGGGAGGCAGTTGAAAAAAAGAGAAAGAAATGAGGTCGTTTTCCCAAGAGAGGATGGTGATCTGGGAACAGCAGGGAGGGCTGCCATTCAACAGGTGAGGCTCCTTTCCTTGTACTGCTCTCCCTAAGGGGATGAGGACTGCAATTCCCATCATTCCCTGCCATTGTTTAGGCTACCTAAGGATGATGGGAGTTGCAGATGGGAGTTAAGGTAGTATATTGGAGGCTCTCCTTGACCTCTGCTTGTCCTAGGGGACGGGGCGCCCCCTGCCAGGCTGGTGCCTACCCTGAGCTTGCTCAATCCTGTCCGTACCTGAAGAACACCAGAAGAGAGAGCCTTCCCCCCACCCCCGAGAGAGGCGCCTGTTTGGGGGAAACAAAAGGAACAGAATCAGTCACAGCAAAATCCAATAATTTCCAATGGGTTTCCAATTATGGTAGAATTTGAATCAAAAAGGTCTCATTCAAGAGCATGGCAATAGAAAGCTCTCCTTCTTTCCTTCCTTCCTTTGCATTTATTTGATTTGCAGTTTGACTTTTTTTCCTTTCATGACCCAAGGTGGCTTACAATAGGAACTTTGAAAAAAAAAGTGCAGCTAAAACACAATAAGCAGCTGTATTAAAATTATAGTGAATAGATTATCAGGCTAAAACAAGCATCTGCTGGATACTGTTTGAAAACATTTGCCTGTCCCTCGTCTGTTGGCCAGTGGCTGAGAAGTCTTAAGCGTGACGTATAACTATTGAAACCATCTTAAAACAATTTAGAACGATTGAGACTTCAAAACAATGCCGCAACATGTAAAGAGCCATTTCCATTTCTGTGGCTGCTGCCCCTTCTTTGCAGTTTTATCTTCCCGAGAAGGATCCTGCAAGGTGGTCGCGTTCTTTCTGCACCCTCCTGGGTCACCGTCTTCCCCTCCGGTTTTCCTCTCCTTCCTCTGCTCATTCGCGAACCATATTGTGTAGGTACCAGGTTTTGCATGAACTCTCAGGAAGCTCTGGCCGTAGCCGCTGACCCCGACCCCCCCCTCCTTTGCAGATGATCAGCAGCACTTCGGCTCCTGGCCAACCTCCCTCCCCCCCCCAGGACACAACACTTGGGAAATCTTGCAGAAGGTGAAGGGCTGGACGAGTGGGTTTCCTTTCCTCTTCTTCTTCTTAAGCCCAAAGAGGAAGGTGCTGAGTAGTAACCTGGGGTGGGGGTGGGGATGACACCCAAGGATGACATTTATCTTTATCAGCAGCTCCATCTCATTGGCAAGGGATGGTTCATTGAGAGTGCAGAGAGCCACGTCTTGATGGTGCCTCTGAGCCCCTCCAAGGACGGGGCCCCAAGTGAAGACATGGGCTCCTTGTTCTGAAGGGGAGAGCCTTCTGCCTTTCCACCTGCTCCGGGATGATAAGCAGGTGCAAGCAGGTAAGCCAAGAGGGAGCTCGGGTGGCACATCAATCATTCATACGGAGAGACAGGAGGCCTGCCTCGCCCCCCCCCCGCGTGTGTGTCGCTGCCCAGGGGAGCGTGGAGGGTCTCTGCATGGGTGCCTCCAGGCAGGAGGTGAGCCGGAGCCTCGGCACTGACTCAGGCAGACCGGGAGAGCTTTGCTGGGGCTCCACGCCTAGGCAGAGGGGCCGTATCAACCGCAGGCGCGAGAGAAAGCCTGCAAGGCTGATCTGGGCAGGTCCAGGTAAGGCCAAGCGCACCCACTGCACCGGCAGGGCCAAATCCTCATGGGGGGGGCGCTCAGCAGGTAATAATCCCTCCCCACCTGCCCACTGGAAGGGGCAGCTGGCCCTTGTCTCCACCAGGAGGTTTCAAGGGTCAGGAGAACCCTCTGGGTTTGCCCAGGTTGTGGTGAGCTCTCTGCCCTCTGATAGGGAGGGGATGCTCACCATCCTTGTGAGGCTAGTCCTCACTGGGACCCTGTCCAGCTGGACTCAGGGTTGGGGAGAGGGGGCAGTGTGTGTGGCCCCCGTGTGTCTCCTTCCCTTGCCTCACCTCAGGCTGCCTCCCTCTCAACCCACTCTTGCAATTGACTCACAAATGCAGAAAGGCGTTGATGCCTTCAAGGCTCTGGGATGTGGCGTTCTGACACAGCCAAACCCTCCAGTCCACACAAAGCCTCGCAGGGCGGCGGTGCAGGCAAAAAGAGGAGAACCAGGGACCCCACCCACCCACCACCTACCCTGACCTCCTCGGAAGAAAGGTGAGCTGCTAATCGGAACAGCAGCAGCCTATAGCAACCTCTTGGCATTCACGGGCATCTGTTTGTAACACGGGAAAACGTCTCCAGACATTACGGAAGCGTATGGAAGATGCTTACTGGCCCCGCTGGTTGTTGACATTGGCCAGACTTTGGACAGTCACAGCAGAGGCATAAATAGAACAGACTCGGCCTTTCCACCCTTCAGAGATCTCTGGCCAGGACAGAGTCTCGCTGAAGTCCACGGGTCTCCTGCCTTGGCAAACCAGTGGGATTGCAGCCTAGAGCAGAGCCCAGCCAACTGAGCCCCTCAAAACCCGCAAAATTTGTGTCCCTCACAGGTCTGAGAACTTGGGGCCGTGCCCTTGCGCCCAGTCATGGTCTCCCCGGCTCTTGCGCTGGCTTTCATCCCCTTCGTGGTCACCCTTCTCATCCGCTACCGCCACTACTTCCTGCTCTTTTACCGAGCGGTGGTGGTCCGACGGCTGCGGGACTACCTGACCGGCATCCCCAAGGAAGAGAGAGCCTTCCAGTACGTCTTGACCCACGCCATCCCCGGGGACCCCCAGCAAATCCTGGAGACGTTTGACCAATGGAGCCGTCACTGCGAGTATCTCAGCAATTTGGGACCTCAAAAAGGTGTGAGG